CCGGGGCTGAGGGTCTGTCTAGGGCTGGGGATCAGTCTGGGGCTGGGGTCTGCCTGGGGCTGAGGGTCTGCTGGGGCTGGGGTTGGGTCAGCCTTTGCAGCCAGTCTCCGTGGCTGTCCAGCTCTGCTTGTGCAGCCTCTGCTGTCCCTGGGCTCAGCCCAGTCACAGTGGCCTACTGGCCTTGGGAAGCACTTCTTCTTGCGCCCTGGGCATGCTGAGCCAGTCTGCAGCCTGGCACCCGGGCTCTGTTCCAGAGCAGATGCCCGGCAGTCCTGACCAGGTGTGGGGTGGCCTGGCACACCATGCAGAAGGAGCCCTCGGGAAGCTGACCAGGCCCTGGGACGGCTGCCGTGGAAAACCCTGGCGGTGTGTCCAGGGTCCTGTGGTGTGGCTACTGGATGTCCCTGTGGTCTGCAGGGCCAGGTTCCCCGGATCCCGCAGAGGTCTGAGACTCCACACCCTCCCAGCACCCGGGGTGCCTGGCTGTTCCAGGACCTGGCTCGGTGGCCCTTTGGTGCCTTGGCACCTGGTGCCAAGGTGAGCTTGCCCAGGAGGTACCCAAGTGGGCAGTGGTAGTGGACAGCATAGGGTCTTGTGGGGCAGGACTTGGGCCTGCTGTCTGCCCTCCCCCCATGTGGGCAGCTGAGGACCTGAGGATAGGGCAGAAGGCATCTGTCCTCAGCCCAGCCTCGGCCCCTGCAGCCCAGGGCCTTCCTGGACCGCGGAACTGCCTGTCGGCGGGCAGACACCCCGGTGGCACCTCCTCCCTGCCCACAGAACGCAGCAGCACAGGTGCAGGACGAGGCTGGACGAGCCCCCGTCTCCACCCCACCTGCACCTGCTCCTCAGGCCTCGTGCCCTGAATCTGGACGGCCACCCACCCTTGGCCGTTCTCCTGGGCCGGCCAGCAAGACCACACTGGGAGGTGGAGTCCTGGCCACTGTCCCCTATGGCTGCTTGGACAGGTGGGGCCAGAAGTCCTGCAGCCCCCAGGAGCAGGAGAGCAGGGCTTCCTCGGACAGAGGGGGTTTCAGTGGCTCCATTCAGAGACACCTGCCCTTCCTCAGGCAGGGGAGATGGAGGGACAGGAGGCCCGTGTGCATAGCAGGCTGGCCGGCTGGGCTGAGGCCCTGGGAGCCTGCGCCCACACACAGGAGGAGGTCAGCAGGAAGGAACAGGGCAGCATGCACTGACCAGCTCCCATCTGGTCTGGCTGCCCTGGTGCCCTCCCTGGGACTTGGCGCCGGCCAGTCCGCCAAGCAGTGAGGCTAAGGCTATTCTTGGTGCCAGTTCTGTGGTCCGGGGGCTCCTTATAAGGCTCTGTCCAGCCTTGCAGTGCCCTCAGCACCCCAGGGTCCGGCTGCCCTCTGGCCTCTGCAGAGCCTGGGGGCTGCGGGATCCCTGTCCTCGTAGCCCACCTCACCAGGCCACAGTCCCTCTGGTCTCCCAAGAGTGACCCTCCTCGAGGGGTCGTGGGGGTAGGGGACGGAGCTGGGCACCATGGAGCACACTGTCCAAGCTGAGCAGCCGCCCGCTGAGTCACGGCAGAGGAGGCGAGATTAGAGCTTATTTTAGATGTCTTTACCCCACACCTGGCCTGGGCCCAAGTGATACGTGTGCTTTGGTAAGTCCCTCGAGGGGGAATGTCACATGTGAGCCCGCCGGACGTTTCCTGAGATGACAGCGGGTGCTTCCTCCTGTGCCCGGCACCAGATGCACAGGACGGGCGGCCATCTGGCATTTCTGCTCTCCCTTCGAGGGGCACCGGGATCATGAGCACACGTGGCAGTTGGGACCAGGACCCTGGCTTGGGCAGCCTCCCACGGACCTCTGCCCGTTGCAGTCCCCAGAAGGGCCACTGGCCAGCAGCCATGAATGAGGGCAGGCTCCTGGCCAGGCAGCCTGTGGGCCGGCCATGCCCCGGGGGCTCCTGGTGCTGACTGAAAGCTGAGCCCACGCCCAGGGTGTGACGCGCCCTGATGCTGCCTGTCCCCTGGGCAGTCCTGTCCTCAGGAGTGGGCAGACGACCTCCCGGGCCCAGCAGGGGTGTGGGCAGGGCCTCAAGAGAACGCCCAGGTCTGAGCAGGGAGGTGCCCCGGGAGTCAGGAGCGGAGCAGGCACCAGCCAGGCTGGCTAGTCCCCATCCCTGGGAGAAGCAGCTGTCGAGCGGAACAGTGGTCCCCTGCCTCTGTGGCCCCTGGTGCCTGCCCCTGGCGTCACCTGAGGGGCATGCCCGGTTCAGGACCTCGGCCCCCTGCAGGACTGGAGTGCGCCTGAAGACCTCCCCTGTCCACTCTCAGGGTCCTCCCTCAGTTTGCTCAGGGTATAGGCCACGGGCACCAGCTGCTGGGCTGTCACCGTGGTCAACGGGGCACAGAGCAGGCCCCTGTCCTCCTTCCTGTGTGTGGCCCTGAGCCCACGGCGTTTCGGGCTGCACTGAGTTCCGGTGGATGGCAGCCTGCTCCTAGGCCGGGTCTCCTGAGGGGTCCCCAGGGCCAGCCAGGCCGGGCCCTCAGGAGGATGGTTGCTGGCTCTCTCCTGCGGCTGCCTCTCCTTTCTCTGGGCCACCCAGGCCGCACTCCCTGGAGGCCATGGTGGGGTCCCTGGAGTCCCGGGAGCCCCCTCACCTGCCTGCTGCTGGAACGGACACTCTCATTCTCGGCACATTCTTTCCCAGGACGTGGGCAGGTCTGTGCTGGAAGGAGGGTGGGTGAGGTGTGCTGGGCCCGAGTTCCCCACCCATGGCCTCTCCAGGGAGATGTGGGCCCCGTCCACCCAGGGCCCCAACAGCTGGCCCTCGGCCTCCTGCAGCGCCTTGCGGATTCATTTCTCAGCTAGCCCCGGCCAGCGGCCAAGCCCTGCCGGACACACAGCAGAGCCCCAGGGGCCACTTCTCCCTGGAAACCACACCTGGGAAGAGCACTGTGACCTCCAGGTGGACAGACACACTGAGGCGCAGCCTGCTGGAGAGTCCAGGGTGGCCGGGTGGCCAGAGATGCCCCCGGTGCTGGCCACTCTGCTCTGCTCCCCCAGGTCACCACCCTGAGCTCCTCCTCTCCTGCCTGGTCTCCCCTGGGCTGCACACCTGTCCCCGTGCCTGCCCTCTGTCCACTCACCTGGGACATCCCTTCCGAGGGACAGAGGTGGGAGAGCAAGGGGAGAGCGAGGCAGGTTGGCGTCTGCACAGGAGACGTGTCCCAGGTGGCAATGTCTCCTCTCTGTGTCGCTCCCCTGCCCCCGCCTCACCTCCTAGGCCTGTGACAGCTGACCAGGCTCGGTGGGGGGCAGGCCCTGTGCTTAGGGGTGTCAGCACCCCAGCACCCAAGTGACCATGATCCCTGGGCTCCCGCCCAGCCTCTACCGGCTGCAGGACGCCTCCTTTTGCCGCAGCCTGGCTGGGCACAAAACCGGGAGGTCACCAGCCACGTGTAGGTTCAAACAGGAACTACTTTATTGCCCGACCCCAACGGGAACTCTCTAGCACTCCACGGAGACTCCGCGAGAACCAACAGGAACTCTGCGGGAACTCAAAAGTAGCGGGCACCCGAGGTAGCAGGAGCCGCCTTATTGCCGGACAGCAGAGGTTTATATACACAACTGAATACACAGCTGGTTTCAATTTCGCATCACCCAGTCACAGCCATCAGTCACCATCCAAAAAGTTATACACAGCTCAACTTAACCATCATCACCCCAATGGTCCCATCCTTTCCCATGGGCTGGGGTCCCTGTGGGCTGAGCTGCGGCCCTCATCTGCCCTCTGTAGGCTGGGCCACTGTCTCCCACGGCCCTCCTGGCCCTGACCTCATCTGACAGCTCTCCTGCTGTCCAGGCCTCTCTGGAGCCCGGCCTTCCTGAGGGGTACCTCTGCGCTGAGTTGGCAGAGCTCTGGCCACCGCCCCCAGCCCCAGCCCCCTACTCCCAGCCCC